TACATTACATTATACACATTTCAAATAGTTTCTTTTTTATTCCCATAGATATTTCTTCATTTTTCATAACCTCAATATTTTTGTTTTTATTAAGTTCATTGACAAACCAACCTTAGCGATTTGTACTATCTGAAGGGGCTTAAAACTGTGTCTACCGTTGAAAATACAGTTTGGTAATGTTCAGTTGAAATTTATATGAATACCTAAGTCCTAACTATAGTGTAGTGTAAACAACCTGTATAATTTCAACTATTTTAATATAAAAAAGACTATTAATTTATAAGCTGTTTTTAAGAAATCCATTAAATAGTTATAAATTACCACCTTAATCCAGTTTAATCTCAATTTATTTATATTTACCAAAATTTTATATGTTTTAAACATTTCAAAAATTTATGATAACATAATTTAAGACTGAAATCCACTTCACTTAATTACACAAGTACTATTTAACGATTTCTGAAAATTTGGAAGCCGTTCAACAAGAACGGATTGAACTTATTTTCAGGTCCAAATTTGGATATTGCTTTTATAAATCTCTCCAATATAATATCATATGATAACATTGTGATAATATTTATTAATACAAATACTATTATAATAACCTATGTTCCTTGTTTTATTACTTGATTATTTATTATTAAATCCTTGTAATATAAACAACTAGTAAACCTGGCGAACTCCGTTTCGCCACCAGAAGGCTTTTATATAACATTTCGTTTGGTGATTAAAAGATGAAGATTTTTTTTGTTTTATATTTGAAAAGGAAAATTTTTATTTCATTTCACAACTGTAATTAATTCATTTCGATTACAAAAATGAAGTGTTATTTAGTTGAACTTCTCTAAGTAAATGAAAGTGAATCCAACGTAGATATCGAATCGAAGCGTTATACGTGTCCGCAAATTATCCGTTTCATTGAAGTGCTCCTTTGTAAACCACATTTTTTGTGTTTTGATCTAACTTTAACACAAATAAAGCGTATGGTTTCCAAATTCGTGAACACGCAAAATATGTATAACTGCCCATGTGAAAAACACTGATTTTTTAAATTTATCCCGCAAATACTAAATGGTTTTTGAGTTCAAACTACAAACACATTACCTAAATATTTTTAGTTTTATATAGTAGATATCTTACAAATATCTAATTGTCATCCATACGTCATTACATATCTGTCATTATACGTCAATTGCATAGCTGTCAATTGTGTTATTCCACGTTTTATAATGACTGACGTTTCATATCAAGTCCCACGGGAATGCTGTCGAACGGGATAAAAAGTATCCTATTGCAATTTCCTGGTTCTAAATTACCTCCCTGCCAATTTTCAGCTGAATCGGTTCAGCCGTTCTTGGGTTATAAGTGAAGTCACTAACACGACTTTCTTTTATATATATAATATAGATTATAACCACAGATGAGAATGTGATGTTCTGTCTTAATATACGTGTAACAAACAACTGTAAACACTTTTAGTTATCATTAAACCAGATTTCAATTAAATAAACCAGAAGTGAATATAGCTTGTATGCAATTAAACGAAAACTGAGAAAAATTTTGTCATATTTCATAAATGTTGATAAATAGTATGTCATTACATAATAAAGAACATGACCCAAGTAAATGTAAATATTTATATACACGGACTTGGAAATACTTCAGAATCTGTATTAAAACTTTAACAATGAAAGCAGTTCTACGAGAAGTTGGGGTTTAACTGGAAAAGTTGTATTCAATGTGGGACCTGAACTATTATTTACTAAGTTTACGATTCGATATGTGCAATAGACTTGAGTTTGAAACAGTGGAATAGCATTAATACTTAAGAAGTTTGAAAAAATATACAAAATATTGAACAATCTAAATTCAATTTCTATATTACACTAACTTTTGCCGCGACTTCGTCTGCGTGGAATAGTGACTTCCGGCAGATTTTTGGTTCTTCCCACATAGTTCAAGTTCTTGCGGGGTTTTCGGAATGGTCGAGTTCCCGTAGAATTTCAGGATAAAACCTGTGTTTTTTTTTTATTCACAATGAAGTACTCTTAACCAACAACATATATATTTATTTATTTGAATAAATATTAATATTATTATGTTGATACAACTTAACAAATTATTTCGACCAAATTAGGTACGATAAAAACGGTTTTTGTGAATTAATCTTAAAAGATAGACGTATACTGTCGCGGACTGTTTTTTAGATCATTAAAAGAGCTATTATTCTTTACTACATATTTTTTGTGTATCTTGAACCGTTTTCACGGCGCAAGCAACGGAAGGCTTCAATGATGAAATAATTTCTCCCGTTTTTTACACATTTACCACTAGATCTTTGCTCCTATTGATTGTAGCGTGATGTTATATAGCCTACAGCCTTCCTCGATAACTGGACTATCCAACACAAAAAGAATTATTCAATTCAAACCAGTAGTTTCGGAGATTAGCGCTTTCAAACAAACAAACAAACAAACTCTTTAGCTTTATAATATTAGTATAGATACAAAAAGAATTATTCAATTCGAACCAGTAGTTTCGGAGATTAGCGCTTTCAAACAAACAAACAAACAAACAAACAAACTCTTCAGCTTTATAATATTAGTATAGATGAATGAGAAAAAACTTTTTATGTTTAGTCTCTTTTTTTTACTATCCACTGGACATATAGCTTAGTAACTGGAAATGATTAGTAATTTTAAAATTGAACATAATAAAATAAGCATTAGGTAACAGTTTAAGTATTAAAGCAATGATTGCACAGACTTCTCATATAAGGAATAATCTTAATATGTACCTTACAAAAAATATAAAATAGCCCATGTTGCTTATAATGAGTTCAGTACTTACTTGAGTTCAATCAAGACAAACAAAAATTTCATTATCTTTCTTTGTTAAACATAAAATAAGTTTGAACTTAAAAAAATACTTTATTTTTATGTTAGTAATAGTTTTTGTAATATAACAAAATTACAAAAATTTTGTATACAGCATTAATGACGTGATCATGTGAGAAAGTGACTTTCGCGAGGATATAATTTGGGAATTAATAAACTTATGATAACATTCAAATAGTACGTCCGAATTAAATAATTTGAAAAAGTAGTTTATATGTAGATGCTGTTGTAAGCTTCAACACGAAGTACTTCATTTCGATAAAACTTTAATATCGTAATTACATAACTCAGTTTCTTATAAATTCTTCACGAATGCCAATTTTTAAAAGCAGACATATGGCATCCGGGAATTTTCTTTAGATTTATATAAAATACATAATTTCACAATACATTGTTTTGTTATATTGCAAAAGGGTTTTGGCAGCGTTTTCGGTAAAAGACGACAGACGTCTTATTTTATCCCGACATCTTCAACAAACATCGTTAATGTACACACAAATCACGCTTTAGAATGGTGAAACCGCTTGGTAATTGCTGCAGTAGTTTTTCTGTTTTTTTTTTTTTGCGAATAGACAGACAAACAGACGCAGCGGAACACTTTGTTTTATAATATTGATAATAGTTGAATAGTATAGATGAAGTCAAACTAAATTATCATTATTATTGTTTAAGGTATGATTAAAATTAATTAAATAATATTTATTTAATAAAAAAATTCAATTATATGTATAATACAAGTAGATACTTGATTATGTTTATTTATATTTATATGTGGTTCTTGTGTGTTTGTTTTTTTATATATATTTTATTTTAGCTGTACAGTTAGTACATTCTTCACATTTCACCCTTCACTCAACTTTACTTCCAACTGTAATTCGACAAGACACGAACCGAAAATAAAAAAATTGTCGAAGGTTTAAAAGCTACCTTAAGAATGTACCCAAGATAAAAATTTAAGGTAGTATAGAAGGTAAAACCTGAAATACATTTTATCTATATTCTAAATTACACACAAGAAGGGAGATTTTTCTATCTCATTTATACTTCTTCCTTGAAATAACTGCATATATATGTTTAATATAGGTTTTTTACTAAAAAATACCAATTGAACGGTTAAATAACAAGTTATAATTTATAATTAAACGTTATAATGTAAGTACATCTCATTATCGTACAAAGATGTCTAGAACTATAATATAACGTTATCTAAATTTGGTTAATAAAACTAAAGTTAAGAGCAAAACGCTTATGTTTGACATTAATTACACTATTTATCCTTAATAACATATAATGGAATTCGTTTAAAGTAACATAACTAATTACAACTTATATATATTAATTAATATCGTTTCCATAATTCAATAGTATTGTTGTCAATTTATTAAAAATAATAAAAGTAGAGAAAACATGTTATTTCCGTTTAAATTATTAAATAGAATTAATTTCTAAATTTGTCTAAATTCTATAAGCGTGTTATAAATATGCAAAACATGGTTGTCACCCAATGTATACCTTGATTAGTGTGTCGTGTAGTTAGTTCTATACTTTATTATTTATCTTTAACCCCACTGAGAACATGGTTCAGCACAAGACTATATGCTATTTTCACACATATTAAATAGGTAACACAATTAACTCCTAATATATTTAAAGTTATATGTTGTTTAAAAGTTTGTCTGGCTAGTTGAGGAATATCACTATACATATATATATATTTACATTACAAAGTACTCAAATATTTGACACTCGATATGCACGTTAACTTCAGTAAAAAAACATATATCGTTAAACCTAATTTGTTCTATTAACTTTACTAAACTATAAAATTTATTTGCATACATCAAGTACTATTCCTTATATTAATTAAATTAAGTCGATTTTGTTCCATATATTTTTTAATAGCATTTACCTTGCAAAATGACTTTCAACGTTAAATCGTGATGTAATCTCCGGTTATAAGAAACGTTATCCGGTATTGTCTTGTTACAATATCAATTATTACTTGGTTTCTAATCTGTTGAATTATAATATCTGATAGAATTCCAGTAAAATTCCAGATGCATTCCAGAATTTGTATTGGAGAATGTTGTTGTATTGATAACAATGTCCCGTCGTACTGTGGGCGCTATCACCGACGAGGCGGACATGGCCGGGTTATTACAACCCGCCCTCACGCTTGTATTGACATTCATGGGTGATTCAACACGAACATACAACCCACATTTGAGGTTATTAATAATTTTTTTAGTAAGTTACCAAAGCCTAAGCCTAAGCTAAAAACCTATATCTATATGCTAAAACGAAAATTATTTTTCAGAAACTAATTTCATTTTATGTTCTCTATGTCTCTTGTGTTTTTGTATATAACATCGGTATAATATATACTTAGCATTTTTAAGATGTAAGGCAGAAATAAAAAAAAATATCTAATTTTTGTCCTAATGAATTATACTATTTAAAAAAGTTGTTAACCAAATGTAATAAAATGTTAAGAAAGTTATTCATCATAATAATGAGGCTCCGTTAAAGAAATGAAATCATCACCCTGTTTGATAATAATTTTAAGTAACAATTTATATTTATTAATTATTTTACATATCTGTATTCAATATAATCTCCTTCCAGGACACGTTTGGCTGAATGTCTGGAAGCAATGTTGCCGAACCATCCTGATGATCAACAATCACTCAGTAACATCGCCTTCTTCTGTAGGGAACAGAACATCCACAATGTTCAAAGAACATCCACACAGACTTCAGGTAGATAGTATTTTAACAATACCTAGATATTTCTTAATCATTATAATTTTTAAAGAATAATACCGTCACAGTGGTAACACGTTCGTTGAACGCGGTAGAAAGCAGTTTTAGGAAAGAGTGGGCCTTCTGAAGTTATTAATTCTGTTCCACACTCGTTTAATGTTATTTTTTATTTTAAAATACATTTAAATGATGTTAAAACTTGCCTAGATTTTGATGTTGATTGCCTGCTTAATATATTAATCTCCTCTGTATACACATTGTAGCAATCGCCGACAGTTATTTTGGTGCACTCGTCGCATTAAAAGCGGGTCCTCGTGTATTCGGTTCCTGATAACTGCTGTGCGGATTCACATTTCCATCTCTTCCCGCTAGTGACTTTCTTTTTTATAAACGAAAGCGTTAAGTCGTATGTAGTTTTAAAATAATAAAAAAAGCGTAGTCTATCGGAAAATTTTAGTTTCATATAAATGTATACTCGCAAAAGTCATAGATATCATTATTTTTAGTATCTACCACTAATGCTAGTAACATAAAAATGCATGTCGCAAATAGGATTTATATAGAAATAAACAGATAACTAAGTAATACGAGAAATAAAATTACATAAATTTTATTAAAATAATATGAAGTATGTAAAGAATAAAGAGGAATTTAAAAGTAAATATATATTCAATGTTCACTTTTAATTGCTTACTTATGTATATCTTTCATAAAATCGAACATGTTGAATAATTTAAACTCGTCAATTCTTCTGGCAAAATTTTTGGTAAAGAAGTATTTTTAAGCGTTGACCTCGTTTTGTTACTTTATAAACATTGAATCTATCTATAAACTATGTATAAACAAATAATATAATCTCGTTATTTATATATCGTCTTATTTTAAATATTAAATATAATTTAACTTTTTTAGTAATAAAGTTCATTGAAAATTATAGTTGCTTAAAAATATGAATCATATTCTGATAAAAAAGCTCTGTCCTTAAAACTTGAAAAAAACAAAACTTTTTTAGGGTAATTTAAAAATTAATTTGAAATTACTTCTAAATTTAATTTAACTTATAAAGTTCCTTATAAAGTTTAAACGAATGAATAATTTATAAATTTAGTTACTTGTAAAGGCTAAATAAAAATAAATTAGATCATAAAATCCTTTGCCTGATATCTGGATGATTTATTCCTTTATAAAATTATGATTCATAAATATTTGATTTTTAAAAGCTTGCAAATAACAATTCATTAAATAAATATATTAAAAAAATGGTAAAGTAATACCTCACCTGCTTATGTTTAAGTCTGAAGTATTGGAAAACTTTTTTTAATAAAAGTTTCTTTTGGATTAAACCAAATTATATTATTTTATTCACCAAAATAATTTCATGATTTGTATTTTCTAGTTTTATATTCGAATTACAATAAGTATCCAAAATAATATCTATTTATAGAAAAATTGTTGAACATTAGCAATTTTTTTCACGTTATCACTGTTTCTCAATGGACAATTGGTAACACAAATAGCAGACTTAATTGCACTCACAAACAATTATGTTGAAACCCAAGGACGTAACATAAGTATTATTACTGTGTTAAATCAAAATATGACAAAACACTTTTACCTTATTTTGATCATTATAAAGTCTGAGTACCAAACAAAAGACTGAATAAAAATGTGTTTGAAAAGAAAAGGTCTATATGTCATATTTTTTGCGTTCAAAGATGGTATGGTTGTTTCCTAAAACAAGTACATATCTTCTCATCTAATTACAACTTCATCGGCTTACTAGCTAGATGTACCTATTGTATCATATTATATGATCCTAAAGCTCATATTTTGTCCAAAAGCATTATGTCGCGTGATAAGTGGATGATACAATTTGCAACGCGATAAAGAGCTAAACGTTAAAAGCTAATGGTACTTAAGTTTGATGCTTCCCTATTTAGGATTCCTAAACATATGGGTCACAGCTGCTGTACAACGTTATTTAAAAGAATGGAAGTGAGGTTTTGTGTTTCCATAATACAAAGATATTAGAATATAATAAAGCGCATACTTAAAGAAACACTTTGAAAATTTAAACTTTAGTTATGTTAGCTCATACAACATCTTATTCTTAATTTACAATTATTTATTTAAAAAGAAACTATTCAAGGAAACCATTTTTAGGACTCTCAATTATCTTGATGTTTTTAGTTATATATAAAATTAAAGATACAAAACAGGTTTTTCTACTTTTTTTATTTTTTAGCTCCTATACTTCTTTCATTATTATATTTAGGTTTATCCTTATTGTGAAGAATTAATTTAATATGTCTAGTAAAAATTAATAAGAACATTCACTGTAAAGTAACTTCATATGTATAAATTATCACATTGCGTGTGATATAAACTCCGAGGTGTGGTGATTTTACCGAGGTAACATATTAGAGTTTCGTTATCACATACAAGATAACAACCTCTTCACTTACTAAGGTGGATTTTATTTTATGTAACATAATTTTAAGAAATTCTCATAGTATCCTAGCCTCTAACTTGTCGTGGCTAACACCTTTATAACCATATTCAACTTTTAATTGCTAACCTCAATACAATTTTTAATTTTTAACTCACAGTCATAAAAAGGAAGAAATGTTATTCAACTTGTCAAATGTTACAAAAATTTCAAAACTTTTACTTTATGCTAGTTACCTTCGTAATACCTAGGTAGTAATTGCGTTTATTTATAGTAATTTTAAGCAATTTCATACTGCGTTAACTTCTGTTTCCACAAATAGCTGCCAATAAAGTATCAGTGAAAATGTTGATTATTCTGTTCCATAAGTATGTAGTTTTTCTTCAATATGTAGTAAAATCTTCGTTTGGTTTATGCATATTGATTTATTAAATCAAAGGTTTCAGATTTTTAATATTCCGCTGTGGTCTCCTGAAGAAGAAGATGCTGGCCAAACTTCACCGTCTGCAGGCCACCACCTGTACGTGGCTGGTGCAGGTAGCGGCACGTGCTACCACCATAGGCTATTACGCACCAAACACTATGATGCAAATAGACATGCCAATCACTACCCCACCGCCAGATACATTGAGGTATTTAAAGAAATCCGCTTATAATAGAATATTATTATATTAACCAAACCAAATTAAATTGAACCAAAATTATATTATAAACGGAAAATTATATTATAAACAACGAAAGTTCGTTGTTGAACTGTAATAATTACAGTTTATAAACAAAAAATAAAATATATCCTGTCATACTTCTAATTGAAAAAATGTAATTTAAACTTTTTACACACATAAATATGTAAATAACATTTTCTTATTTTTTATATAACAAACAATTTATTCTCATCTTTTTAACTTGTTACAAAATCAATTATTACTTGGTTTATAATCTGTTGAATTATAATATCTGATACATTTCCAATAAAATTCCAGATGCATTCCAGAGTTTGTATTGGAGAATGTTGTTGTATTGATAACAATGTCCCGCCATATTGTGGGCCTATCACCTACGAAGCGGACATGGCCGGGTTATTACAACCCGCCCTCACGCTTGTATTGACATTCATGGGTGATTCAACACGAACATATAATCCGCATTTGAGGTTATTAATTTTTTTTTACTAAGTTACCAGAGCCTCAAGCTTAAGCCTAAGCTAATATATCTAAATATATGCTGAAAAGAAAATTATTTTTCAGAAACTTTTTAATTTTATACTCTCTGTCTCTTGTGTTTTTGTTTATGACATCGGTATAATATATACTTAGCATTTTTTAACATGTGAGGCAGTAATTAAAAATATTATATTTTTTTTGTCTTAATGAATTATACTATTAGAATAAAGTTGTTAACCAAATATAATTAATTGTCAAGAAAGTTATTGTCTAAAATAATGAGGTCTCCATTGAAGAAATGAAATCATGACTCTATTTGATAATTTTAAGTAACAATTTATATTTATTATTTTACATATCTGTATTCAATATAACCTCTTCAGGGCACGTTTTGCTGAATGTCTGGAAGCAATGTTGCCGAACCATCCTGATGATCAACAGTCACTCAGTAACATCGCCTTCTTCTGTAGGGAACAGAACATCCACAATGTTTAAAGAACATCCACACAGACTTCAGGTAGATAGTCTTTTAACAATAGCTAGATATTTCTTAATCATTATTATTTTTAAAGTATCTACCAGTAATGTTAGTAATATAAAAATACATGTCGCGAAAAAAGATTTATATAGAAATAAACAGATAACTAAGTAATACGAGAAATACAATTTCATAAATTTAATTAAAATAATATGAATTATGTAAAAAAATAGTAAATATTTATTTTTTATTATTAAAACTGCTATAAATATCACCTGGCATTCTTGAATGCTATATTACTGTCGTATCTTAATTTATGTATAAAGACATACCCTATTATTAAATTGATAATTAATCTAACATTTGAAAACTCGTAACTCAGTAAGTCCACTGTAAACAAAAATATCTGAAGAGGGTGTAAATTACATTTAAAAAACTTATTTGATGTTTGATTGGTTTGGGATTCAATGTTATGTTAAAAGCTTTTACCGACCCTCCCAGCTTTTCTGCCTGAATTGTTTACAAATACGAACACTGACCAATCGATACCAATAAATCATGTATGCCACGAACTGCCGATGCAGATCACGTCACTAAAGTAAAAGAAATTATTGAAGAACAATTATTTCTTGTTATACAGCCTATAGGTGAAATAGAAATACATATACAGTACACATATAAAAAGTGTCAAGTGACACAGAAAGGGTTGTAGTAGGTATAAAAGGAACCTCAGTAATTTAATTATTTAGAAGTGGGGCGGTTATTTAAGCTTTACACAATAATGGAGTGTTATAGTAAGGCGTAAGGTAGAAAGTACTTGGTATCATAATATAATGAAATTTATATTTAATAGAAAGCATATTTTTAATTTTAGTTGGATGGTAATTTGTTTGATTGTTGGAAATACTTGTTTTTTGTAAAGTTTGCATGAGCCATCAGTTGTACAAGTGTGTCTGGTTATGTATGGTCGTATATGTGTGTATGCTATAGAAGGTTGGTTAGATCGGAAGGAAAATAATAATTTTTTTACAATTGTGATCCAATTTTTATGAGTTACATTCCAAAATAGTTTCAAGTCATTTGATAAGTTGATAAAATCCGACGTTTTAATAAAATTTGCGTGTTGATTTTTCACTATATGTATATGAACTACATATGTATAAGCGTGCACAGAAGTATTTTAAGTAATATTTTTAACCATGTTTTTCTGATAAACTGTTACAAACATTAGTCATTTGATAAATTACTTTTGATCTTCTTTTTCTACCTGGCAATTTCTTAACTATAGCCAGGGTCTGCCTTACATTTTGTGAATAGTTTTGGCTAATTGTTTTTAGGACCGGGCGCCTGCCTGACATCAACCCTGATGTTTAAATACTCTTGACTGGGCCAGGATCGAACCCGCGCCCTCATGCATGAGAGGCGAGCCTTTTAACCAGTAGGCTTACACTGACTTAAAGGATAACTTTTGATATAAAAGTATAATTTAAAGTAGAAAAAAATGGGAAATCAATCCCTGTCAATCTAATTCTCCTAATCAGATTGATGGATTTTAAATAACGTATTAATTAAGGTTTGATAAGTATATGACGCTGATTTATCTCTAATTGTAATATTATAGTCATTTTATTCAGATAAACGTGAATGTATTTATTAATTTAAAAAACAAAAAAGGTCATTTTATTAATATGTTTGCCAAACGTTGAGGTGTGATTTTATGGCAACACTTTAGAACTATTGGCGGTTTTAGAGGTTTAAGAAAACTACCTTTTTTTACGCGATAGCTTCTGTCACTCTGGAGTTTTAGAATATTTTGCTAATAACAAATTTTTAGTAAAGTACTACCAACCTTCATTTGACAGATTGCCAACAAAAGTTACAGTAATTTGTATAAATAATTCTTACCTCGAATTTAGGTCAACGTTTGGTTTCAGTTTACTTTATAAATCTTCAAGTATTATCGAACACGTATATCTTCTGCCAAGATTTCCACTTCTAAGTTTGTTTGACATTTTCCTTTCAGTCTAACCTTTAGAATTTTTAATGAGTTGATTATTTGGTACGTATTCTAGACGATGAATATACTTTTTGAACCATGAACAGAATTCTGTCTTCATATGTACCTTTTTTTTCATGATTTCTTATATATTTACGTACGATAAAAAATGTATATATATCAAATGCGTCATAGTTTTACAGATTTTCATGTTTAAATTATTACACTATTAGCATATTATTGTTAGTTCCTGAAAGTCAAATTATAGTCATTTATTATGTGAATGATTTATACTTTATATATTAGAAAACATACTACATGATTTATTTTTTCTAATATTTAATGAATAAGTATGATTTGAAATATAAGTTTACGTTCTAAGAAAATTTTATACAAAATTATATTTAAAGTAAACATTAAATCTACAATATCTACAAGAAAATTAAGAATTTATTTTACATCGGGAAAGAAAATAAAATACATTACATTACATAAAAATTATAAATCATCTTACGAATCATTTGGGAGGTAGGCTCTTATAATAATTTGTAGGCTTTTAACAGCGAACGTAAAAGAGGAACGTTTATAGCAAAACCCAACTCAAATTAAAGTCAAGAACCGGTCTAGGGATGTTTATATATTTGAACTGCGTGTCTATTTATATCTGTACTCGGAACAATAAATTGAGGTCGCTTACACAAACAACTTTATAAGCAATTATCTGAGGGCAATAGAAATTTATCAATCTGGAACAATCAATAGAAGAAAATGAAACTATTTTCTAAAATACGGAATAGTGTTTTATATCTCAATGGATGTGTTAGTCTCTCAAATTTTTTTGACGTACTTTGTTTGAATATAAGATATTTTTGGTATTTATTAAACGGCGTTTTCAAATGTTTGTGTGTGAATATTAAATAAATTTTATATTCAAATAAAAAACAATATACGAATTTTTTCAAAGCTTACCAATATTTTCATTTTGACGTTAAAAAATTGATCATTATAAGTCAAAAATAAGATCTCATTGATAAGTAATTTTAAAAGGATCTTTAAATGTAAAGATTTCCAATTAAAAATAACATATTAGAATGACACAAAATTTACTCGAAGGTCAGATATAAATTATATTTATTTCTATTTACTATAATTATGTAGCTACATATATAAGACTCATTTCCTTCGTATATAACATTTAATTTATTTGTTAAAAAAAATAAGCGATTCAATTGGTGTCTTTCATTATAATATATAATTTGTCTATTTATATTTTGTTTATAAAAATACCTGTTGCGTATTACAACAGGTCATTGAAAAATGTTTTTTAAAATATACAAAAAAGATAAAAAGTAACATATGGCAGCTAAACGAAGATTTACCGAAATCAAATTATTTTAGAACATATTCTATTCACCCAAAATTCTAAGGGCTTTTTTATAACACTATTGTTATTTTCGTTGATTCAACTTTGTTTTCTTGTTAAATAAACCCCTTTTTATTATAACAAAATCTCTGATCTACGTAATAATATCTGTACAATGATCCACGGTGTTATGTTTTATTTTTATCCGTATCTGGTTGTGCCACTGAAATGGGTATGTCAAGTTTTATTTGTTTACCGTATCGGAATCTCTATTGGAAACGAACCACGTAATTTTGTTTTTATTATATCCGGACTAACGTTATTTAAGTTAAAGTTAATTCTGTTTTTATACATTTTTGCACTTTTGTTTGCTTGTTTTTCCGCAGACGACAGCACTTTGTTTTAAATCAGATTTTCCATATCATTGGCTTTGAACTAAGATATAAATATATATTCTATATAAAGTCAGAATTTATATATCCTTGTCGGAAAATAAATTTAATGATTTTCCTTGTCATCTTGTTATTCTGAAAATTTCTTGTTGATGATTGCTACCTATAAGATTGTTTGTCTGTTTACTGAAAAAATATTTTAAAAGTTAATGATGCTCTTGTAACGACATATTATTTAAAAGAAACATTCAAAGAATTTACTATAAATTACTCGATTATACACATACCCTTATGGGTATGTGTATAATCGTAAATTTAGAAATAATTTGTGGGAAGATATATTACCAGAATACGTAATGAGGAGCGGGATACGACATTAGCAAATAGGCAATAAAAAAAAATCATCACATTTGTGATTGCTCTGATTGATTTTTGGGCTTCCTGCATTGAAAACGAATAATTCGAATAATAATTTAGATTCATGACAAGTAAAGCTGCGAAGGCTGAATGATATTAATAAATTGAATAATATAATTAAATATTACTGATAGTGATGAACCAAAATTGGTACATGACCAGGAGACGGCGTACAATCGTCCTTTGCGAAAAGTTTTGCAAGACTTTATTTTAATAATCTTTGAGAAATTAATGATGATCCATAGAAATAAGTAAATCTTTTAAATAGGTCTCATAGAGATATTAGAAGATGCGACAGAATAATTTTTTTAAATATTATTTGGACAGAAACCCTACAGAAAATATTTTTCAAAATCTTCTTAATTGCAATTATATTACCAGAAATTGCAGCAGCTAGTAATAAATTGTACTGCAATTGTTTTAGGTTTTGTTGTTACATTTTTTCATTGTTTTTTTTTTACAGAATTTTCCTTCAATTTAAAGAACTTGTTACCCAATACTCTCACGTTCCACATACAAAATCAAAACAAACAGCTATACCTAAGGGTCAGTATAAAGCTCAAAGCTGTTCTACCTCACTCGGTAACAAAAGCGAACACTATCCAATCGATACCAATAAATCATGTATGCCATCAACTGCTGATAGGAACGTCACTACTATATGTCAATCAATAACTTCAATATAAGTCATAAACTTAAAATTGAGAATATATAAAACTTAAGTTACTTTTAAATTGCTTCCATTCATGAATTCGTTTCTGGATTATTACGTAGGTAGATCTTATAATACTTGATAAAATTATTATATTTATATTTATTGCAAATGAATCAGTAATAAACGTAATATTA